TTTGTTTGAAGGTGTCTTTCATGGCACTCAAGGACACCGTACAATTAAAATACAAGAATGCAGTTTAAAAAAAGGGAAAAAAAAAGAATATAACAACAAATGAAAATAATAAAACATTGTGCATCACATAATGTGAAATAGAGGTGAGAGATGGAGGTTAAACTGAATATGCCTGTTTGAAAAGAAGAGTTTTAATTTGTGACTTAAAAATGGAGATGGTGGAAGAGTTTTTGATGTCCAGTGGGAGAGATTTCCAGAGGTGGAATGCTGAGCGACTGAAAGCTCTTGAGCCCACAGTGGTTAGACGAGCTGGTGGTTGAGTTAGTTGGGTGGAAGAGGAGGACCTGAGAGTGTAAGAAGGTGTGTTGATGTTGAGAAGTTCTGTGAGATACTGAGGGGTGAGATTATTGAGAGCTTTGAAAGTGAGGAGCATGAGTTTATAGTAAATGTAATATTTGATAGGTAGCCAGTGAAGAGTCTGTAGGACAGGTGTTATAGGACTGGTGGAAGGGGTTCTGGAAATGATGCAAGCAGCTGAGTTTTCGACCAATTGCAGTCTATGGATAGAGTTTGCTGGTAAACTGAAAAGAAGGGAGTTGTAATAATCTAGATGTGACCAAAGAGTGAACCAGAACAGCAGTACTGCTGGGTGAGAGAGGTGGATGGAGACTAGCAATGTTACGGAGGTGAAAGTAGGCTGAACGAGTGATGGTACTGTTATGGGCTTCAAATGATAATGTGTTTTCTAGGATGACACCTAGACTCCTAACCTCGGGGACAGGAGAAACTAAGGTGCTGTCAATGAGAATAGAAAAGTTGGTAGACCTAAAGTTACACCCTTGACAGTAGGCCAGAGTCTGTTGCACGCATTATACGTTACAGGCCATGTATGGGTATTAGGGCTGCCATGATTAGTCGACTAGTCAACGACTAATCGACTATTAAAATGTAGTTTTTGGATTAGTCGTTTTTCTTTTTTTCTTTTTTTTTGCTTTGTTTTTCTCTCCAAACTGCTTTGACACCTTCCACTGCCACGTCTGCCTTTCTGTCCTTGACACACATGTGAAGTAGTGGTAACTGGGGTAGGCCGTGGACGTCACAAGACATTATACAGACAGGCTCTGGTATCATGGCTACCCGGCAACGGAGCTCAAAAGTGCGGGATCATTTTAAGAAAATGAAAGAGAAACTTGTGCAATATCTGCCAGGCAGAACTTGCCTTCCACGGCAATTATTTTTAGTTAGCATATTGTTAAAATCTAACAATGGTTATATAATAGCAGCTGCATTCTGGCGCGATAAGCTGTATGTTTTATATTCAATCAACGTATGATCCGATTAGTTGACTAATCGAAAAAAAAAATCGGTGATAAGTCGACTATAAAAATGATCGTTTGTGGCAGCCCTAATGGGTAATGACTTCACATTTGTTTGCACAAAAATAATGGTCAAAATGAAGGCGTATCGATTTCTTGTATGTCTTTTAGAATTGCTGTTGAAGTGTAATATTTTAACCACCACTGTTGGTAATTTTGGTTGAAAGGCCATGGGGTAGATGTATCTTCTGGGTATAAAGCTGCACGTCCCTGAAAATGACTGCAGTCAGTGTGCATTGTGATTAATATGCGTCTCCTGTTTTTAAGCTTTATCTGAGTGAAAATGACCATATGTCATCTTAAACACTGTGGAGTCAGGTTTGATATCCAAGGCCACAGATATGATGCTGTTGACTAATATACGTGTCAACAGTAACACAATTACAGGAAATTCACATTTCCAAACACTTCTCATCACTGTCAAACACCCGCTGTTCCACCCTCAGTTGAAGCAATTCATTTTCCTACTCTGGTTGTGTATTTGTGAGGACGTAGTGCATTAATRTGTCTGTTTGATGCAGCGTATTGATGGATTCATGATGGTCAATTGTGTCCAGACGAGTGACGGCTCACTGAGATTCCGCTGTAGTCATCTTGACCTCCCGCTGGAAGTTCTGACAGAGACTCTGTCACAATTCTCATTCCTTTCACCATCGCTGTTTGACACATCTGTCAATGAAACCCGAAATAAAAAAGCTGCATTCAAATTGGTGGCGATGTAGAGACTTCTCAACGTGCCTGTAGGTTAGTCGTGTACCCACTTCTTTTTATCTTAAACTAGTTCTAGATTTACAAGGTAAGTTGATGAAGGGGTCAAGTGGATATTTGGTTTTAGGTTTTCTGCTTAAAAGTTGGAAAAATATTTCTTAATATGCAGACCATTTTGAAGGTGGGGGGGGGGCGCCATAGATAGATCAGTGGTCAGTTYAATAATCTCATAACCCCGAGGCTTCAGGTGCGAGCCCAGGTTGTGTCAGGAGGAATAACTGTAAAACAGTTTACAAATATTTTAAGTTCCCTCGCTGTGGTGTCGCCTGCAGCAGGGATCAGCCGAAAGATGAACAAGTGGACAACAATTTAGAAAGATTTCCAAGTAATCTCAAGACCAGGTAAAAGCTCCAGATTCTCAATTTCCTGGTTTTGCAATCAGTTTTTCGTAGTGGTCCTACGATTGCACATTATTTTCTCTTTAAAGTGCTTGAAAACGTAAAATGTAGCACTTTTTTAACTAAGCTGTTGCTTTTTAAAATCCATTTGGATTCTTATGTGGAGTTTTGCGTTTCGTCTGTTTTCACACTCCCAATTAGCAGGTTGTCAAACACGTAGCACAGTCGCTCCAAAACAATACCGGGACAGCTGAAAAACAGTTGAGGAAATAAAGTGTTAAACCTCATCTGCCCACTGATAAACCTGTGATTTTTTTTTATTTATTTGTTTTTTTTTTATCATAGCTTCTCTTTCCAGTTTATCGCCCCCTCAATTATCAACACATCCAAAGTTCAGAAACGTTCATCAAGATCAAATTGAAATTCAAAACTTTTCTTAAAGTTTAGATCTTAAAAAGTAGAAAAACTTTTCTAATTTATTTTTCAAATTGACATAAAGTTTGTTTTACCTATAGACAAAACCTTTTAGCCCTGTGTTTATGTGGATTTTACATATATGTGTATGATGTTTTTAATAACACCTTTATAAAAGAAACTTTAGCAACTGAGAGTATTGGTAGTACAGTTAATGTCGATCCACATGTTGTGAATGAATAAAAGATATCTAGTAAAAACTCTTTAGTTTTGGAGACTTCCGGTGGGTGCGGAGCAAGATGGCAGCATAAGTTTGAGCTCCCTTGTCGAAGAAACAAAAAAAACTCCCTAATGCAAGGAAATTAGTCAAAACACAATTTTAACCAGACACGAAATGAGTGGAGGACGTAAACAGAGAAGCATAAAGAAGAAAATGGCAGAAGAACACGACCCCGAAGTTGAACACATGGAAGAAGAAAGCGGCGACTCGAATCAGCTTC